AATAATTAAAATCTTAAAAAAAGTTTTGTTAGCTTTGGAACAATATTTCCCTTTTATCTGAGATTGGGTATGGTGAATGTTGCTTACTCTCACCCTTCTTATTCAACGTTGTAGTGAATGTCTAAGATAGTTCAATAAAGCAGGAAAAGAGGAAAAAAGAAGATTTGGAAAGGAAAAAATAAAATTAGTATCACTTATAAAGAACATATGTAGAAAATTGAAGATAATTATTGGGATTACTAACAAAATGTAGCAATACAATTGGATATGAAGTAAATGTACAAATGCATTTTTCTTTCTTCTTTTTTTACTTTTACCAGAAGTAAAGCAATAAAAGTTAATTTTTTTTATAATTTTATTTTTTATAAACACATATATATATATTTTTTCCCTCCAGGGGTATAGGTCTGTGAATCTCCACGTTTACACACTTCACAGCACTCACCATAGCACATACCCTACCCAATGTCCATAACCTCCCCCCCTCCCAACCCCCCTCTGCCCAGCAAACCTCAGTTTGTTTTGTGAGATTAAGAGTCACTTATGGTTTGTCTCCCTCCCAATCCCAACTTGTTTCATTTACTCAGAGTCATTTGGATTTTTATGTGTCCTGTTGTGTCAGTGGTCAGTTTACTGAGCTTGAGTTCCAAATGTGCCCTTCAGCATATGCTCATGTGCAGAGAACTCATTCAGCATTTGCCCTTTACAGTGATGGCAATGTTCACTTTCTCAGTAGAGGGGACTGTAAAGAGATTGTAGGAGGAAAGGGCTTCCTGCGGTTTGTAGCAGCAGCATGGTGGTCAGCAGTGTGGGTGCGGGGATGTGTGGTGAGTCCTGCCCCAGCCATGTGGCCAGCATTTGCAGTCCTGGGGCACTGGCAGCTGGGTGTGGACTGGCAATAATCTCTCCACAACCCTGTTGACCTGGGACGTGGCATCCCAAAGGCCCTTTTCTGCGCCAGTCCCAATTCACTCAGCCGACCTTGCTAGTGGCCTGGGGGTTCCCACTGAACCACATCTCTCTCTGCAGACCCCATGTGGCCCACCTTCACCTGAACTGCTACCTTCTCTGCCCATTTAGGCCATGGGTTGCTGATTGTCTTCCCCCCTACCACCCCTGCACCCCAAGGAGAAGGAGGAATGGTTGTTCCCTGCTGGCCCAATGACTACAGATCAACTTCAGTCTGGGAAAATCAGTGAATATCTCTGCTATGTGGTGGGTTGAACTCCATCATCTTGGCAGTTCTGACCACCAGTTTCAGAGAGAAGGCCCCATCCCACCATTGTCCTTCCTTGAATCTTCTCCCTCAGCCCTGGGGTTCCACATGGAGGTTCCTTGAGTTACCCATGAATCAGAATTCAGTATTCTTTATATTAACTTCCCTTGTTTCACCCACTGTGTTGTTTCCAAGTCTTTTAAAGATTTTATTTATTTACTTGAAAGAGAGAGAATGAGAGAGAGAGTGCATGAGATGGGGGAGAGTCAGAGGGAAAAGCAGACTTCCTCCTGAGCAGGCAGCCCAACGTTGGACTTGATCCTGGGACTCCAGGTTTATGACCTGGCCAAAGGCAGTTGCTTAACCAACTGAGCCACACAGGGGCCCCTGTTTCTAAGTCTTAAGTGGATCCTAAATGGTGAACATTTGTAGTCTTTCTTCAGCAAACCAGTCATCACCTTCACTTCCATTTGGTGGGTTTCCATGCCTCTGCACTGGCAGCATGGTGGAAGGCATACAGAGGACTCAATACAGAACCATGTGCTAGGTAAGCCTTTTCAGTTTTGTCTGGTTCTGCTGAGAGCCCATGAGTGGCTGGCTGGGCTGTTGGGGTTTATTCTGTACTGGGTATAATCCTAGAGCCCCTTTACTTTCTGGCTACTTCCTTTTTTACTTTCTTTTAGCTTTTCTGTTTCTATTCCTTCAGAATATGTTTTGTTTTTATTTTTTTTAAAGATAATCAAGATTTTATTAGTTTTAATTTATTAATGTGGAGACAAGAAAAACACAATTTATCTGCTAATATCTTTAAAAAGATTTTAGTTTTTGAAAAAAAATTAAGGTAGTAAATATCAGCTTTTTTCCCCTGAAAATCTGCTTTTTTACAAAGATGACCAGGGCCCTGCTCTGATCCATAAGAGTTTGTTTTGATTTTTTAAAAATGTTGACTCTCCTCCATGGTTTGACAAGTATGTGCTTCATGGCAGAAGTGAGATTACCTAGGACTAGGACATCCCCTTGCCTCAGAGAGGAGAGTGCCTTCTCAAGAATTCCTGCTGCATTTCTCAATCTACTTGATGAGGCTCCCCCAACATGTCTTGGCAAGCAGAATAGCTCTTGTGTGTCAGAGACTCACCCAAAAGAAGGAAGAGGTCTTTGGGGTGTTCTTTCACTCTTCATTGTAAGTTTGTTCTTTAAACAACATCTGTCCTTTCCCTTGCACACTCCATCCCAGGCAACAATAGTTTTTTTTTAAAGATTTTATTTATTTATTTGATGAGAGAGAGAGAGAGAGAGAGAACACAAGCAGGGGGCGTGGGAGAGGGAGAAGCAGGTGCCCTGCTAATCTGGCAGCCCAATGCAGGGCTTGATCCCAGGACCCTGGGATCATGACCTGAGTTGAAGGCAGACAATGACTGAGCCACCCAGGCACCCCAACAATAGTTTTAATATTTCTTTTTATGAGTTTGGCTTCTTTAGATTCCACATATAAGTGATACCTTGCAACAGTTATGTTTCTTTGTCTGACTTATTATCTCACTTAGCATAATGTGCTCAAGGTTCATCCTTTTAATGGATGACAGCTGTCTTTCTTCTTTATAGTTAAATTATACTTTATATATATATATGCATTATATATATGTGTATATATGCACATGCACAACATACGTCTTCCTTATCCAATCACCCACTGATGGGCATATAGTTGTTTCCATCATCTTGGTTATTTTGAATAACCCTGCAGTAAACAGGGGAGGGCAGATGTTTCTTAGACACTGTTTTCATTTCCTTTTCATTTCAGAAGGGAGATGGCTGGACACATGATAGATCTATATTTCTTTTTTTGAGGAATCTCTATATTGTTTTCCATAGTGGGTGCACCAGTTTACGTTCCCACCAACAGTGTACTGTTCTCTTTTCTCCACAAACTTGTCAACACTTGTTATCTCTTGTCTTGATGGCAGCCATTCTAATAGGTATGGGGTGATATCTCATTGTGGTTTTAATTTGCATTCCCTGATGATTTTTAAGCCCCAGAGATCTAATGCACAATATACTGATAGGCACAATATAGACAGCAATATTTTGTTACAATCATCAGACTTGACAAGAGAGTAGAACTTAATTATGCAAACCTTTAAAAAAGAAATGATAATTATATAACATGATAGAGGTGGAAATTAATGGTTTAATGACAATAGTATAACAATATATGAATGTATCAAATTAACATGTAGTGCACCTTAAATTTACACAATGTTAAATATCAAGTATAGTTCAATACAAAAGTGGAAATACATGTTCATTGATGTTCCATAGGTCAGAGATTCAATATCAAGTGTAGTTCAATACAAAGTGGAAATAGATATTCATTGCTGTGCATAGGTCAGAGATTCTCCCACTGAGGATATATTATAAAAAAAGGTATACTTTGTATGAAGAAGAGCAGCATTAAAATAATAGATCAATTAACTGCAAAGGAACTTTTAGAAGATAGTGATTTCTCACTATTTCCAGCTTTTCCAAGACACGTTCAGAACCTCTCCTTGGAGTCCTGGAGAGTCCCACACTTGGTTGTGATGTGAATGTGGAGTTTTGCTTCATTGTTGCATTTACTTAGTAGCTGGGTTGTGTGACAATTAAGGCAAGTAGTTTGACAAGTCGTGGTGCAGTGTCAGGCCCTACTCAACAACTGCAGACCTGAAGGAATAAGAGACTTGTATCCATTCTTTCCTTTCCTCAGAACACATCTTTGTTCCCAAATGTGATAGGATGGATTCCTTAGCATCCTTAAGGCTTTGTTCTAGTATCACCTTTTCTATCATGCTTTTTTTGGATACCTTATCTAAGATTATAACTTTACTTTCTGTCATCAGAGATACTCTCCTTTCTTCTTTCCTATGTTATTTATTAGGTCTCATCATTTTACAAACTACACACTGTTTTCCTTCCTCTTTCTTACCTCCATTTCTTCCTTCCTTTCTTTTTACTTTGTAATAGATAAATACCCATAACTGCACATGTCACATGGAATTTTTATGTGCTTTGCTCCTTGTTTCTCTAATGTGTAGTGGTCAGTATATTTTTGTTGCGTGAATGAATTGATTCATGCTTGCATTAATTAACAAATGTTCATTTCATTTTCCATTTTTATTCTTTTTGACTTTGAATTTCTCCACAAGAAGTACTCAAATCCAGAGAGATCCTGTCAGTGTGGGGTCACTGTGTGTCGGATGAGAGTATCTACATGTATATGAAGGAGGCTGTCGCTGGAGGAAGGTACAGCCTGACCTAGGTGGATGGTTCTGAGAGCAGCTGCCATTCCCTGATGATTCTGCTTTGAGGAAACCTAGAACTAAGAAAGCTGTAGTCATCCATCTTCTAATGTGTATGAAAGGAGCACTGTAGGTTTGAGTAATCCCACAAAGCTGGCTATCAGGCCCCTCAGCTTGTCAGCAGAGCTGGTAATCATGGGGCCACCCTACCATACAAGATAGAGGGAGCCTGAAGCAAAATTGTTCTCTGGAAAATGTTCAAATATGGGAAACTCTTGACTTAAGACCTGTGCCAGAATCAAGGGACTAGGTGATCTTTCCAAAGGGCTTCTGGCTGTGCTGTTGACTCATTTCCTGGCATTAACTAGCCCAGATTCTGGTCTGGCAGTCCCTGATTGGTGCCCTCTGCCTCTATAATGTCATGATGTGGCCTGCTGGAGTCAGAATCCTACCTCCTCCTGAGGTCTGACACTTTCCTATATGTGCTCCCTGCTAATCAATTTACCAACATGAAGGTCTTGGCGATGCTGGTACTGGTGGCAGTTTCCACCTTCCTGGTCTCAGGCCGTAAGTAAACATACTTACATGAAAATAAGGTCTGGAGCAAGAGGATATCACCATATAAATTCTGCATGGATGGGGGTTTTAGAGGGGCTTTATATGCTTGCACCTGTGTCCTCCAATCTAGTACCCTCGTTCCATCTCCATTTTGCCTCACCACTCAAGATAGAGAGGACTCTCCCTTTAGCCTTTGACAATTCAGTCAGGTCTTTGTTGTTTTAACCTTGGAATGCAACTTCAGTGTTATTTCAGGACAATATATTTAATAAATACATCAAAGGTGGATTGTAGGAAAGGAAAAATGTAGAAAAATTTGTGGGGCTTTGTGGGCTTCATATTATCTGTTCATCTCTGCTCTCAACATGTGTAGGAAAACTTAAGGTTCTTCAGTTGTGAAATCTTGCAATATTTTCCATATTCTGTCTTGCCTTACCTTCAAAACTGTTGGTCAACTTACACCTATTTTTTCTTTTTCTCTTTCAGAGACTACAACAGATGTTCCATCTGATAGCTCTACTAGTAAGTGTGTGTTTACACCTTCCTGTTATGATGGTTTTTCATCCCAGCCTCCTGTCAAAGCAGCCATGGCAGCCAATGTAGAGACTCTTGAGAACAAAAGTCACGAAAAGTCACATTCTAGTTTTTAAAGTTCATTGTGAACATACAAAATGTTCTTATTTCCTATACATTTTTAGAGAATATAAAGCTTCTGACATGGATTTACATAAATTGTGGATTAATTACTCATTATCCTGTAGCAGAAATGACAAGGGAATGTGGTCTGAAACTGTGGTCTGTTAATTTGGGGAGATGCATGTATAGCCTTTGTGATTACCATAAATTTTGAGGCTGAGTATATGACCAGAGTGAAAAGAAGGGTTAATAAGTGTCAGGAACATGGAAGAGAATGTAGATGCTGAAAACAATGTAGAAATGTGGGCATTAGAAGCACATGGGAGTGTGGAATAGAGACTATGGAATTTAAGGGTGAAGTAGCAGGATGACCCTAAACTTTGGTCCTTATAGAAGTATATATACCTTATTCCCAGGCTGCCATGCATTTTCTTCTCTGATTTGAAACCCAAGGTTTTGAGGAGTTCTTTATAGATCCTGGATATCAACCTTTTGTCTGTACTGTCATTTGCAAATATCTTCTCCCATTCCGTGGGTTTTGGACCAATGCTCTAGTATTTCTTGGGCTTCTCCTACACTGTCCTGTATGTCCAATTCAATGTGTGTTGTGCTCATGAAGACATGAGGAAGATTTCTCTTTTGTGCTTCATAGCTGGGGACCTGTGTCCTTTGGTCATAAAGGTATAGACTGCAGTCAGACCTCACACACTGAACCATATGTCCTACCTGCCATGTGGAGTCAACTGAAAACACTGTCTCATCTTCTTAATGAGAACCAAGACAGTAGGGCTAGAGTGTGGGTATGGAGAATGAACTATATACTTGTTGAGATAGACACAACTCACAACTATTGGGTCTAACTCTGGTTATCTGTCAGGAGCTCTGGTGTAAGGTGCAGAGAGTGATAATTATCATCAATCTTGCCACATTACCTTTGAACATGGGATTATTGATAGGGCATTTGCTTACTTTTATTATTGCCAGAAGAGTACTAATTTCTCCTGTTACATCTAATGTGGTTCTCCTAGATAGTACTGTAATAGATGGATTCCAAGTTGAACAACAAGCGAGACAAATATAATCCCATTTCAGGCCAGAACCTGAAGAAGGAGATCGTGTTTCATCCAAAGAAAAGAGATCCTATTGCTAATCTGAAATGCATGATCTTATTCTTTCTTCTCTTCTCCTATATAGTTTACTCCACTACTCACACTCATTCATGCTTCATTGGAAACTAAAGAGGCCAAGTGAGCCCAGGGATGGGCACCAGAAAGTCAGCCCACTAGGGGTTCTCTTGTTGCCTCTGAGCCAGGATCCCTATGAATAAGAACACATATGATATATGCTCATCCCTGGGAGAACATTTTGCATGTATCTTCTCTTAGTGTCACAGTCCTTGGAGGGAAACCCAAATTCTTATAGTGCTACAAGGCGGGGGTATGAAGAGAGAGGCCAAAGGAAAGTGGGTAGTCTGGTGAAGGTATGACAGGATTGTTGACACTTACAGAGATGAATTCAGAGTCCTCCAAGTTCAGTGGGACAAATTTTGTTTCCTGGAGAAGAGTCAAGTGTCTCAGCTTGGATCTTTTCCACTTAATTTCAGCTGTCCCAAATCCACCACTGTGGGGCCCACCTCCAAATCAGCTACTGCCTCCACTGATGCCACCACCACCACAGTTCCCACCACCATGACCAGTTCTGCTCAAACCACCAATGTTTGAAAGAGTAAGTCCAAGTTACTTACATGCTACCTTTATGGGGTTCCTGGATTCCTGGATTTTCTACTTTCCTGGTAAAGTCTATTTTGGGGGCAGGAGGGAGAAGCCATGAGATAGTTCTGTTTTCATTATTCTCTTATTGTTTTTGGTTTTACAAATCAAGTGAACAGATACATCTCAGAGGAGTCCGAGTTTGCAGCCTCTTATTCTCCAATATTATCTGCATGGCCTTAAAATGTTAGCATTTCATTGGGAAAACTCTTCTTTAGTAGAAATGTCATTAGAAGGACTGAAGTAAGTGTTTCCCTGGGGCCAGGTAACTATTTATGTGTTTTTTTTTTTTTAATCAGAAAATTTCTGTTTCCTTGAAAGACTTTTCTAAAAATAGACAATAGCTGTAGATGAGGCTTTCTTGAGGCAGAAGCTTTGTAACATTATTCAGGATACTTTTGCGAATTTGGACAATCATAGAGGATCAAAAAAGTACAGAGTTTCTAATCCTGATTAATTTTTCCTGTCCTTCACACTCATGGAACATCAATTACAAATTTTATTGAGTGTGGACATATGCCAGGTATTTTGGTATACAATTCACATATCAATGTAATTTAAATTTCAGAGTCATTCTACTAGGTAAACACTGTAAGGATGAAGAAATGGAAAACTAACAATGAAAGACTTTCCCCTGAACATGTGGGAGAGATTGGATTTGTACCTAAACAATCAAAGTCTTGAGGAAACGTTTTCAAATGGCTTATAGTCTTTCAGTGTTGGGGCCATTGCTTTTCACCTTGCTCAAGGACGTGTAGTGGCAGCCTGTGGGAGGAAATAGAAGTATTCATCCCTTTTGAGAAGAAGATTGGTTTACTCTGAGTTATAGTAAAGGGGAAACTAATACATATTGGCCTACTTCCTGTTTTCCCAAAACACCAGCTTCCCTAGGCTCCTGTCATGGGCTGCCAATCGTGTTTCTTTTGGGATGAACATACCATGTTCCTAAGACTCTATGGAGTTCAGTGTCATTTGACATTTGCTAGTGTTCTTACAGACTCCCAAAAAAGCCACGTTCTTCACCCTTTTTTGAAACCCTCTTGACAATATATTTTATTCTCTTGCAGGTGTCATCAACAAGATTAAGAATAAACTAGATTTGAAAAATCTAGATTTGAATAATCACTAAGATGAAGGAAGCCTGGGCCTTTTGCAATTGATCCTGCTGGGCTTGGCCACAATGTCCCTTCAATTGGTTTAACCCTGACTCTTAACATGTCTATCATCTCTGTCTTATCCCTAATCAGTTTATCTGTTTTCAAATAAAAAGTAACATTGAGTAGCAACAAAATCATATATTTTTAAGAGGTTGGAGAGTGCTTGTCTAATGATTCAGTCGATCCCAGTGACAGATACTTTGAATTTTTTCTAGTCCTTTCTGTAGGACTGTGAATTGGACTTTGTACATGTGTCCCCAATTTTTAAACATAAGACACAGTTCTTGGGCCCATCACTAGAGACTAAAGGTTCTCTCACTTGAATGCACTTATCAACATTTACCAGGCACCAATGTCCATTTTGGATTCGATCAAACTCTACTCTTGACTGAGTCATGGTTATACTTTATTCTGTAATGACTTATGAGGTGAGAAGCAAGAAAGCAGCTCTGCCATCTGGGAACTGACCTGACATGGTTGACATTCTGAGGTATTAGGGGCTGAACTGGGCTGAGGGCTAGGAAATGGTGTTCTCCCATTGCACACATGCAAAATCTTAGAAGACCAAGGGAGACAAGGGCGCTCAGTGACTGTGATGAAGGGAGGCAAAGAGCAAGATCACTTCCCAGTGTTGTTGCTGTGCAGACAGAAGCAATGTCAGTGTGCCAAACCCACAACAACACAGAGCCCTTTTTTCTAGTTAATAAGTGATGCTGTTTCATTACCTATCTCAGCTTTGCTTCATTCCAGTCTCTTCTCCCTCTAGAAAAGGTTAATATCCCCAATCAAACTGGGTGATGGATATTAAGGAGGGCACCTGTTGTGATGAGCACTGGGTATTATATACAACTAATGAATTGTTGAACACTACATCAAAAACTAATAATGTACTATATGTTGGCTAACTGAATATAAGAAAAAAAAAAGAAAAAAAAAAGATCCCCAATCATAGCATACTCATGTTCCCTGACAGCATCTAATCCAGGGCAGTGGCCTGCTTCCCTACAACCTCACCCAAATCACAAACAGAAGTGCCAGTCCTGTGTTAGTGTTTTCTAACACCCTTGAGTTGAGACACCTTGCTGCAGTTCCCCATGTATATGCTCTCCCCCATGTATATGCTCTCCCCCATTGCAGTGATGATGAACCCAAGCTGCTGAGCTATAGTTGGGTTTCTGGTGGTTTTTGCTGGAGGGCTTTGACACCTGACTGCCTAATGAGATGGATATTGCGTGTGAATGAATCATGGTGTGTTGTCCTTTTCACTGTGGACATCTTCCCAGTTTTCACACACTTGCTGAATGGGAATGCTTAAACTTGTCCTGATTCTTATCAGTAGTACACTAAACAGTGCGCAATTCATGAAAAGAAACATGTTCATGCTTTGATAAGGAATTGATTGAATTTGGAATTTGTTTCTCACTAAATCTGTTTTATTTTTTAAAGACAATTTTGGGATGTTAATGGAGAAGAGGTAAAGAGGACTATTGAAGATTAAATAGGTGTGTTTTATTGTTTGAGCTGGATGGGATCAAGGCTATGTAGAAATTGCAAAGGGCCAAGAGGGATTGGTATAGCTTAATAGACTTAGCTAACGTCTTCTTTTCCATAATAGTTTGAGTCACCCTTGTATGCTTTGAATTTTCATAGATTAGATCTCAGTGTATGTTTATTGTACATCACAGGGAAGTGTGTGTATATTAGCATGTTGTCATAATTTAGTTAGACAGGATTTGGGGTTAATGACCATTATGGATAAATTAGCACAAGTTGTGATTATTATTTCCTCAGAGAAATAAAGTAAAAAGAAGGAAAACCTTTCATACCCATAGAATACCTGGAGGGTAGTTGAAATTGCCAGCTAATATTCCAGAATGAGTCCTGCCTATGAAACTCATGAGAATTACCTCAGCTGGAGCAATAGAGATATTGCTCAAAGTTTGCTACATGTTATCATGTTTTTCAGATCATACTAATAAGCAAGAATGTCAGATATTATTAAGACTCTTTTGGTTTTGGCAAAATCATACTCCTCCTGTAGAAGTCCTGAAGCTTCTTCTCACAAAGTCTCCAGAGTTATCTGAATTTTAGCATTCCCTGAGCTGAAACTGTTAGTAGATTTACTTGGAGTCAGCCCCAGGTAATCCCTATGAGCCCATAAGACTAATGATATAAGTTTCTGCCATCATACATATGCTAGAATCTGGAGTCTTTTGCAGAAATGAAATAGGATTTCTTTACAAAATTGTTTTGGGTTTTTGGCCTTGAAAACTAATTGGGTATTCATCCTTTCTGATGGAGGCATAATACTCCATAGTGTATATGGACCACATTTTCCTTATCCATTCGTCCGTTGAAGGGCATCTTGGTTCCTTCCACAGTTTGGCAACCGTGGTCATTGATGCTATAAACATTGGGGTACAGATGGGCCTTCTTTTCGCTACATCTGTATCTTTAGGGTAAATCCGCAGTAGTGCAATTGCAGGGTCATAGGGAAGCTCTATTTTTAATTTCTTAAGGAATCTCCACACTGTTTTCCAAAGTGGCTTCACCAACTTGCGTTCCACCAACAGTGGAAGAGGGTTCCCCTTTCTCCACATCCTTTCCAACACATGTTGTTTCCTGTCTTGCTAATTTTGGCCATTCTAACTGGTGTAAGGTGGTGTCTCAATGTGGTTTTAATTTGAATCTCCCTGATGGCTAGTAATGATGAACATTTTTTCATGTGTCTGATAGCCATTTGTATGTCTTCATTAGAGAAGTGTCTGTTCATATCTTCTGCCCATTTTTTGATATAATTATCTGTTTTGTGTGTGTTGAGTTTGAGAAGTTCTTTATAGATTCTGGATATCAATCTTTAAAATGATTCTTTAAAAGAAATTTTGTATACCAGTTGGGAAGATTACATGTGTTTTCTCTTTTATTCTCTTAAATTATAGATCACACTGGTTTGCAAGTAAATGTTACTTCAACTTGCTTTCCTTGATAAACTCCACCTATGATGTTCCCTTCCATGTATTTTGTTAAAGCTTTTAATTTTGTCTCACTAATGTGTGACTGTAGGGGGCTGAATTTGAGGGTTATGGTATGTGATGTTATTTAAGTATTTTTGTTAGGTTTGGGATCAAGGTTATGTTAACCTCATAAAACAACTTGGGAAGTTTTCCCTCTTCAGTTTTCTAGGAGAGGTTTGGTTTGGTTTGGTTGGTTTGTTTCTGAACATAGAACTCTTATAAGTTCTTCTCTATGTTTTTGTTGAAAGGTACCAGGAAGGACTTCTGAACCTGGAGGTTTTCCTTGTCAGAGCTTTCTAACCACACACTCATCTTCTGGAGTGAGGTTTGAGGTGAATCCTATTTTAGTCAGCATTCCAGCAAGTCTCACTGTCTCCACAGTGGTAGCTTTGTAACAGCTTCTAGTAGCTCCTACTTTTCCCTCTCCCCACTGGTAGCCTCTCAGGCAGTTCCATCAGCCCACTGGGTTTTTTTCTGCCCATAGGTCACTTCCTGTGGCAGTTCAGCATCTCTCTCTGCTATGCAGAGGCTACATCCATATTTTCTCTGATGAGATCTGAATTTTCAGCTTCAGAATCCTTCTTCCTACTTTGTTCCTTCACTGGGTGCCTAGCTCCAGCCCCCAAATCAGGGGCTGCTCTCTGTACCAGCTATTCCTAAAATAC